TTTTTTTTTTTTTTTTTGCTTTGCTCAACTCTTTAATTTTTCTCTTGCAACCAGCGCGGTCAACTAATTTACAGGATATCCATTCGCCACATTCAGAGTCACTCAGTCACATTTTATTGTTTAAACGCAAAATGTCGTGTCATTGCCATTAGCTTTGAAATGTGCACAGAGCGCCGAGCAAATAAATTGTGTTTATGTAGGTATTCCGTGGCTCTGATTGCGCCGTAATTGTTCCATTTGGGAAATGCGCGCTGCATATGCGAATATTTATGCAACTTTTTGGCGCATGCAGCGGGGCGTTCAATATATATGATGTCTGTCGGGCCGGCAGCCAACCAAAAACTCTACAAATTTGCACATTTCGCATTTATTTCGGACAATTTTTATGCATATATTTTGCACAACAATATTTGCAGAATGAACATAGAACCAGAAGAATAAAATACTAATTATTTAAAATATGCCATAGAAATTTGATTTAGTTTGATTAGAAAAGAGAGAGAAGAAAATTAATTTAATTGAAAATTTCTCAATTTATTTTTAGTTTGGTTTGAGCCAAGATTTGAATCGGTTTGGCTTGAGTGCATCGCTCAGTTACAAACAATTTAATGGCGATTGGCTGTGGCAACCGCAGTGTGGCAACCACATTAATTGCTCATAAAAATCTTGTCGCCCATTTTGTTGAATCGATCAAAGTTAATTGGCATGCGACCGCCATTTGCATGTCATGCATATTTAATAAACAAAAACCCAGCATAAAAACTGCAAACAGCAGTCAAATTAACATAACCAAACGGCAAACGACAAACGGCACGCAATCGCACATCGGAAAATATTATATAAACGCAAAACATAAACAATTACCAAAAGCAGGGAAAAAATAATATATTTCTCGCTGCGTGTTTTAACACAATTTGCGCATAGTTTGCCCAAATTGTAATTGTGGAAAGCAGGCGCAGGAGGAGGGGAGAGGTTAAATCAAATAAACCAAAGAACTACAATAAGTAATTCCAGTTAAATGCCCAAAAATTAGGCACATAAACTCACTTCAATTTGAGCGGCACGCAACACGCGGAAATCAACTTTCAATCTACAGCAGCTGGGGAAATCAAAATAACAACAAAAAAGAAAAAAAAAAGTATAATAATGATAAAAAAAAAAAAGGCAAACAAATAACAAAAGCGGATTCCATTTTTGGCACATCATAAATAAAACATTAATGCACAATGCGAAAGGAAAGAACTTGAAGAAATCTGTGAAAAGCTGAAGATCAAATACTCTTGTTGATGAGCTCATTTTTAGAGAGTAAAGATTACAATTTTATGGAATTAATTATACAAATATTTGATATTTTTATAATATAAAATTAATTAATTTAATAGTTAATCAAATTCAAATTAATAGTTATTCAAATTTACATAGTTGGATAGTCGCATAGTAAGACGAACTAATATACTCTATTCACATTAATGCCGTGTCAGTTTACAGCTCTTCAATAATTCAACATGTCATATCAAAGTTTTTCAGCATCTTTCCATAACTCAGAACAAAAACTTTTAAACTAGAAATGCGCGCACTTCATACAGAAATATGTCAAATGCTTTATATTTCTATATATGAAATGCTTTAAATAAAATATGAGGCAAGCTGAGATCTATCAAATGTGATTAGATGATTAAAAATTAAACGAGATCCATAAACAAACTACTTGAAATACTAAATTTGACTGGCCTTAGATTTTCAATCAATAATTTAAAATTTCTGGAAACTCAAATTCTGGGAAAAGTCTATGGCCCATCTAATACCTCAGCTCAATATAAATACTTTATGAGCACAAAATGCACATATCATGTCCATGTTATTGTACAATACCCTTACTCTTAGCTATTTATATGCCCGCTATATATAAATTTATATAAGTGCAAAATAA